GTTATCAGCTGACCAAGGGAGGATGTGCAGATAGATAATAGAAGGGATCCAAGGACAGAGCCTTGTGGGACCCCGACTGAAAGGGGGAGAGGAGGAGGTAGAGTTGTATGTGACAGTGAAGGTGTGCTGTGATAGATAGGAGGGAAAACCAGGAAAAAGAAGAGTTTTGGAGGCCAAAGGAGTGGAGTTTTTTGAGGAAGAGTGGGTGGTTGCCTGTATCAAAGGTATCAGAAAGGTCTAGGAGTATGAGTTCAGAGTGGTGTCCATTGTTTTTAGCAATTAGTAAGTCATTAGTGATTTTAGGTGGGCAGTAACAGTGGAGTGTTGTGGGTTAATGCCGGACTGTAGGGGTAAAGAAGGTTGATATGAGTGAGGTGGTAGCTCGGATGGTTGTAGACCAGTTTGGAGGAAAACGGGAGCAAGGAAATGGATCTTAGGTTGTTCAAACTGGCGGGAGCCAGTGTGGGCTTTTTAGATATTGGGCTGACTAGTGCATGATTTAGAGGGAAGGGTAAGATGCCGCAGTCACTAGATGGAGCTGAGGAGCTTAGGGAGATAAATAGGTTTTTTTTTCTTCACTTGACAACCTGTCTGAAAGAATTTTGTGTATAGTGTTATATCGTTCTTATAAGGAGAATTCCGAATTTACATAGTATTGTTACAGTATATTTGAAAGGAATATCCACTGTGAAGTAGCAATTGAATGAGGGTTGCTACATTGTATTAGGTGGTTTGTCATAGTACAGAAAAGGCAAGTTCATTGGCAGTTTTATTTGGAACCGAAGGTATCTACAGATCTCTTTCCTTCACAAAACTTAGTAACGAGGGGATGAACAAGCATCTTATTTTTGGGTTCTGTGATGTAACAAGACATGTAGATTCCATCTGTTCAAAGAAGGCTTTTATATGTACTGCACTAGTTCAGTGTAGGCTTATGGGTTTTTTTGGCCAACTCACCAACCTGTTGGGTTATACTTTCTCACTGGCAGGTTTAAAATATATGTATATGTATAGCTACCAGTAGATAATCACAGTCAGCTGGACTTGTTCTGTAATATTAAAGGTGTTTCCAGCTTTTCCAAGCCAATCCTTCAGTTCTAATGAAGCTACTTGGATAAGCAGCAAAACGTCTTCAACGTTACAGAACAAGTGAAGTTGTATATGACTAACAGGCTTATTCACAAAACGCTGAAGAGGTTGGAGTAGGCAGGAGAAGTGAACAATCTAGGCCAAAATACCTGGTTTTGAAAAATTCTCCACTTCAGCTATGTTGTCCTAGATTGTTCACTTCTCCTGCCTTCTCCAAACTCTTCACCCTTTCGTGAATTGCCCTGTAAGTATTACTAGCTCTATCATGACTTGGATAAATGAGAACATTCACATACAGACAAATATGTAATCAGACTAAAAAATGTTAAAGGATACAGAACATATTATTATACACAGATATGCTTCGCTGTCAATGCTGAAAATAATAAGGCGACCATGTTAGATGAAATGCCTGTTTGAGTGCTAGATATGCAAAATGTAGTGAATCACATTAATCTTCTAAGACAAGGGTGAGCTATACCTAGTAACACATGTTTTACAGTTCCTGTGTAGAATGGAAAACTTTAGTTTACTAGACTGAAGATCACTCCATCAGTAGGTCAGTGCCTTTTCATAATTACAACCAGTCTGGTAACCAAAAAGTGCCAAAAGGGAATTCCATTTAGAAGGGTTTTTAGGCAGCTGTAATGGGCACTGCTTGAATGTAAAGTGTTCTTTTTCACTTTAGCTGAGATGAGTTTTATTCTGAGACATTATCACCAACAGCAACAAAGGAACTGATTTAATTCAACATTTCCGGCAACACGAATTTGCATTGCCGAATCCTGTTTGGTATGGCAGTATTGATACATGTTTGGCTAGTGCATGCTAACTGATCATACGGTATTATAGCACAGACTCTATTCCCTCCAAACTGAGTGATCTGAAAAAAAGGCAAACGTTGATATTTTATCAAATAAAGCCTCTACCCTGTAGCTGACAGAAGGTGTTCATAGGCAATTTGCTGATTCTTCATCAGGGCCAAGGATGAATTCTGATCTAAACTAATGAATCGTTTCTATATTTTGTAACAACAGAGCTGACTAGATCTTTAATAATAGCCAATGAGCGATTTTTATCTAAATTTCTAACACTGTGAAACGCTGAGAGGATTATTAATATGACATTAGCTGACCTCTTAAAGCACAGAACCAAAATCGAATAGGAATGAAGGCTAAAAGAAATTGCCGCAGATTTCATCCTTTAATTTGTCTTGTATCAGTTTTTAATTCTTCTTTTAGGGGGCATTCACGCTATATGAGGTGACCTGCGTTTTTCAGCAACTGAACAATGGCAGTTACCACTAGGGCACATAGAAAACAATGGCGCCCTGTTCACACCAAATAGCAGGTGTGATCTGCATGGTGTGCTGTGAAAAAATGCAGACATGCTAAATTTTTTTGCAGTACATTAGACTGCTGCACAGGTCACTGCAACGCAGCATAGTATACCGTCCTGCTGTGCAGGGATCTGAATGGAGTGTGTAGTTTGTACACTCCAAATAAAGTTTAAAAAAAAAAAGCAAACAGTGTGATGCGCTGAGACAATGAACACATTAGCCAGAGCATTTTTGTAGATGGGGTTGCGTGAACAAGCCCTAAAGAAAACTCTTGCGCGTTTATTGAGCCTTCATTTAGTTTTCAGTCCATTTTTTAACTAGATGGCCACGGAACAAAACTAGAAAAGACTAAATGAAACGTAAACTAAAAAAGCAAACTGACACTTCATCTGTTTTTCCAATGGCTATAATGTATAATGATAATGAGACACAGGAAATGCAGAAAAAAAAGGCACGAAGGAAAGACAAAAGTAATAATAACTCAAGTATACAAAATGTAAAGAAAAGTCTGAACTGTGCACTTAGAAAGAAAAGTGATGTTTACTAGCAGAAGTCTGCGTTCATTATCAGCCTCACACAAAACTAAAAAACATCATAATCCCGAGTATGTCTCCAATGCATTCTTTGACATGGTCATTTACATGTGAATGTGCTTACATGTTGTGTTTTATATAAGGTGTTTGATAGACCTTCCTGGAGTGAAAAGATTATAAAAACACGTTTCAACTGCAATGCAAATACTACAAATGTTTTTAAAGGGAATATATAGGCGTTTGGTTGATATTTGAACTATAAACACTTTTGTACATAATATCATCTATGCATGTTATTGTTGTTTTTTCAACTTTTTTCTATGTATGCTGTGTAGTTATATATGTATGTGGGGCAGCCATATTTGCTTATCACATAGGCAGGTTCTGCTTCCTGCTTTGCAGTATTACACAACGGTTGTGCTGTACCGCTACTTCTCACAATGCAATTGAAAGGGTTGATTTACTAGGGCTGCAAGCACTTTTTGCTTGCACTTGTTTGCACTCCTAAACACAGCTTTACCTTATTCACTTCGCAAAGTAAACATTCTCTACTCCTTCAGTAAATCCACCCAAATGTGTTAAACAACTCATTGGGGTTGGTTTACTAAAGAGGAAAGAATGTTCATTCTGAAAAGTGATCTACCCCGTGCTCTGTGGTTCATTCCACTGGCCCCTACTGCTCTACAGGACACAGTAGTGACATAGGGGGCGACAGACAGGACCGCAGAGATTGAAGAAAAAGTCACCAGCACACCAGTTTCCACTTCACTGATCTGTCTTTATTGACGTTGGATAAGCATAGTATCATATTGAGAAGCAACATTTTGCAACCCCACAGATTTGCCTGACAAAGGAACCTATGCAGTTCCGAAATGTTGCTTCTCAATGTGATGCTTTGATTATCCAACAATAATGATGGATCGGTAAAGTGGAAACTGGTGTGCTGGTGACTCTTTCTTCAATCTCTGGTTATATGCCGAGCCATCCACAGTCATTGCAGAACCTGCCTGAGGAATACAGGGCTTTATATTGGTCAGGAGCAGGGGCGTGCGGTCAGGGGAGGCAGAGCCTCACCTAGAATATCAGATCGGCATCTAACAGTTTACACAGCAGGGAACCAGGCATCCAGCGCACCCAGAAGTGAAAGATGCTACAGATTGGCTAGCTAGCTTAGCACTTCAAGAGAGCGAAGATAGGCGGCAGATAAGTATTAATTATTTTCTTTACAGGGTGCATTTAAAAAAAAATGTTTTTTTAATCTAGTGACAGAGTGGCTTCAAGAAGGGAAGCATAATGATTGAGCGTTTGCTCCCTCTAGTGGCTAATCTACAAATCACTACATTTATTTGATAAAAATTGGCAGAGAAGACTTTTCACTAGAAAAAATTAGCTTACGACAAATGCGGCAATAACTCACAATATGCCCTCATTGAAAATACACTATACATTCCCTTTAAAATTAATCTCCACGGACATTCCTTAATCATTCCTCTTGCCACCGACATGCATGAAAAGTCACAAATGAAAGAACTGAAGGTAAACGCAAAGGAAATGTAAAGTTTAGATGCCAGTACATAGACGCCAAAATGATGACGCCACTACATAGTACCCTAAAAGATTCATTGCAGAGGTCTGCCATACTGTTTATTACATATTACCCGCTGTAACCAAATAAAAATGTTTGCATTTATCTACAGTACTTATGGTGAACATTTGAACCCGACTTCCAGAGAAGCACTTCACATATTACAATAATAATATTATATTCCAATTAAGTTCAGCATAAAATCAATAAACATTTCGGTTTGTTTATTGCAAGGAAACCCCATAGCTATTCTTAGTAGAAATTAGAACCATTCGACATAAATAAAGAACTAAGAAAACCTATTATCACAAATCCAGTTACTGCCTTTGATTTATGTGTTGACTGTCTCATAGAAACCACAGTATATTATATAATTTCATATGAAATGATTCTGTTGTACCAGTAGATAAGCCTCGTAACGGTCAAATGTTTAAAATCGGAAACAAAAGGATTATTTTAAATTCATACGTCCGTGTGATATAACAATAAAGAGTAATAATAAATAGAATCCTAATATATACGTCAGTACAAAGTCCAGCTTTGATACTGATGAAGCCCCCACATTCAATGAATGCTGAATTTTATCCAGTAGCTGTTTGGTTACCGATGACTCGAAGAATCTCTTTATAGCTACTAGGTTCTTGTGTGTTGATGCTTGTATCGCCTACTTGACCATCTTCGTAGCTTAAAAAAATTTATAAAAAACAAAACATTAATAAAGGCCGTTTTACATCAGTGCAAATCTATGACATAATCCCAGACAACACAGTCCCCACCAGAACCCCTTCTGATCAGACATTTTAGATTCTAAAGAATAATATTATTTAGGGCCAGGTCCAGTGCTGCCACTAGGCAAACTAGGCAGTCGACTAGGGCGCACCGCTGACTAGGGCGCAGCCTTTACCATCTATTTCAAATTGCAAAAGCCAATGGCAGACTGGCTATTGCACCACCCACTGAGCAGAGGAGCGGAACTGAGAGATAATATTCTCTCTCAGGGCCGCTCCTCTGCTCAGTAGGTGGGGTTTCAATAGCCAGTCTGCTATTGGCTATTTCAAATTAAAATAGCCAATAGCAATCTGGCCATGGCTCCCGGCTGCAATGTATGAATATTCTTTACTGATTGCAGTAGGCATATTAAAATATAAGCTGTGAACTATATATCATTCAGCAGGGCATGGAGCAGTGTGGAATATAGGGGGTTATTTACGAAGGAGCCGAAGGATACAGCTGTAGCTTCGGCTATTCTTCATCCGCCAGAGACCTGCCGTTCAGTTGAACTGAAGGGCTGCTGTACGGGCTATTCACAATAGCCCGTACAGCAGCCGAGCGGCTCAGCAGAACTGAAGGCATATGCTTCGGCTCGACTGAGCCGAAGTGACAGCTGAATCAGCTGCCAAACGCCGGCCCTTTGCCCCTCAAATGACAACTGGGCAGAGCCAGACGTGATTTCACAGCTGGCTCTGCCGATTGGAATAACAAATCAGCGTCCCCAAAAGACCTGGGGACACTGATCTGTCATTAAACAATAACAACTGGGCGGAGTTGTTATTCATTGGCTGGGACATGCTAGAAGACTCTGCTTGGTTTCTATTCTGCTCCGTACCACGGAGGTACCGAACAGAATATACAAGCCGAATGCCGCTCGGCGGCATTCAGCTATTCACTCACTGCCTATGAGAATAGGGATGAACAGCATTCGTCACTCTGCACTTCGGCTCAGCTGAACATGAAGAGCATTTTCGGCTAACCGAAGGCAGCCAATGTATGGCTGATTTCAGCCGTACTGATTTAAGCCGTACTGAGCCGGAGTGAATAGCCGAACGTCATTTGGCTCGGTTATTCACTCGGCTGTCTTCAGCAGCTTAGTCAATAACCCTGATAGTGTACAGAATGGAGCAGAGTGGAATACAGTGTACAAAATGGAGCAATGTGGAGTATATAAATGTATAGCGCAGGGTAGAGTAGAGTGGGGGAGATTATATACTGTAGTGCACAACGTACAGAGTATAGCCATGTAGAATGGTGGATTGGACAGCGCAGTGAACAAAGTGGAGCAGTGTGCAAAATATCATGTTTAGTACAGTATGCAGAGAGGAGCCATGAGGAGTATAAAATGTATAGCACAGAAAACATGGTGTAAAGTACACTGTAGAGCATAGAGTACAGGGTGAAGCTTTGTGGAGTATATGATATACATCACAGTGTCCAGAGTGGAGCAGCGTGGAATCTATAATGTACAGCACAGTTTAGAGAGTGGAGTGGTGTGGAATATATAATGTATAGTACATAATTTAATATATGATACTTACACAAAAAAGAACCGTGTACAGACATGATCGGTAGTGGGAACGACCCAGATCTCCCCATGTTTGTGCAATTCTTGTGAAGTAATCACTGTAAATAAACAGCAATAAATATCAATCAATAAAAATTAATCAAAAGTTAATGCTATAAAAATACGTTATTGTCAGGGGAAAAAAGGGATTTACAATATTTATTATTGTAAGTCCCTATTGTAAATTTTGCAATGTCACAGAGCGATACATTAATTCCACTAATTACCATGATCTACAGTAACACAACAATGCAGACTCCAAGAGCGACACTGCAATGTTCTACATGCTCTGTCATATTCCAGAACCTAGAATAATATTATTATTATGATTATTATCATCATACGGGATTTATATAGCATCAACAGTTTGTGAAGCACCTTACAATATAAGGAAGACATTAATGACAATACAAATCAAGACACGATGGTAAGAAGGGCCGTTGCCCATGACAGCAAGGCAGAGTTGAGAGTGAACCTGTGGCAATGGAAACAAATATGAAAGTACACATATGTAGTAATGCAAGCAGTGCCATGTTCCTGTGTGCCAGGTCTGTACAGGAGAGAAAGAGCCTTTAAATTGATAAACCCATCTCTCGCTATCTCCCATGGCTTATTATTGGTCTTTCACTGTGAAGGGCAACTTCACTAACAATAGCAAGGTGCAGGAGACAGTGGGTGGCAGGCAGAGCTGGCAACCAAGCAGCTGGTTGCACCTCTGAGAGTTGTATTCCTATGGTATTTTAGGCTCTAGTTCACACCGCAGCGGTCAGTTCCAGAGCATGTAAAAAAACTGCAGCGAGCCCTATTTTACCTGCTCTGGAATGCATGCAAACGCATCACAAACGCATGCAAACGCCCTGGAACGCACTGAAAGCCCATTCTAAACAAACACAAAATAATAATATATTTTTTTTTTAACCAAAAACGGCCCGGAACGCATCAAAAAAGTGGCACAACCCACTGCACTGCGTGTGCAGAAACTCATGCAGATCTGGTCTGCATTTGGTGTGAACAAGCCCTTAACCTGGAGTGTTCAATATGCAAATAAGCATTGAAGACCTTGCCAGAGAATTGCACATTGCACAAAGTCTGCACAAGATCAGACTTTGGATCCTGAAATCAATATTTTTCCATGGAGTGTCCTGTGTTTGGGGGCCTCCTGTCTCATAGGAAGCCATCTATTGCAAGTCAGGTTATTGATGGGCTCGCCATACTATAGTTCAACACTAAATATACCCACTAACAAATACAATATTAATCTCAAAAATTACCTTCACATAAGGCTATACATTTCAAGTTACGGCTTTGCAAAAATTGGGATTGTTGTCCTTTTTTCTGTGACTAAAAACAATGCAAGAAAAATAAAATGTATATATTAAAACAATACTAGTAATAAAGCCACCTCTGCCTGACCAAAACACTGAATATGAACACTATTGGAACAGAAATTATGCACAGTACATATTAACTGAAGTTACCTACACAACAGCTTGTGTGACCAAAGTGACACTCTATAATATTGTGTTACTACTAAGTCATTACTAGTTAGTCACTACTAAGTAATTAAGTGACACACAGAGATTATTTGTAAACAATTTACAGAGCTGTGTGCCCTGCAAATCTCTGGGAATGTTCATTGGGTGTGAACAGAGGCAAGAAATGAACCTTTTTAGAATATTTTCTTTTTAGATCGAATGTAATGTAATATTGCATTATGACCACTAGATTGATAAAATCTTATTTCCTTTGCGCCTCAGCTCCATCTAGTGGCCATAATGCAGCATTACATTACATTCAACCTGAAAAGAAATGATACTAAGAACCTTCATTTTTGCTTCTATTTGCACAGAATGAACATTCACAAAGAATAATTTCTCTGAATAGTTTATAAATAGACCCCTTACAGTGCAAGTCTGGGCAAAATAAAAACAAAAGAAACATATTTGGTACATATCCGCAATACATGCACATTTCCCCATGTTTTGTCTCTATAAAAACGCTGAAAGTGCAGAAAAATTCCTGTTGATCCAGCCAGAAATTAAGTGAGCTCTGAATTTCTGGTAGTTATCTGACTGGTTGGGATTTCAGTGCTGCAGAAGCAATACTGTCAGCCCACTGCAGGATTTTAGGAGAGCACTGGATTGCTGGCAGGATAAACAGGTATTTTTCTGCAAAACATGGAGAAACATGCATGTATTGCCGAGATTTACTAATGGTTTCTTTTTTTTTTTCTTTGCTTTTGCCCAGTCATAGACTTTAAGAAGTTGTCTGTCATGCTATTGGCTGAACTTTCTTCAGCGCAGTATACTATAGTATGCACCGATAAGCCATAACATTATGACCACTCACCTATTATATTCGGAAGGTCCCCCTTTTGCCGCCAAAACAGCCCTGACCCATAGAGGCATGGACTCCACTAGACCTCTGAAGGTATTCTGTGGTATCTGCCACCAAGCCGTCAATAGTAGATCCTTTATGTCCTGTAAGTTGCGAGGTGGGGCCTACTTTGCTCCCCAAGTACATCAGTAAGCCTTGGCCACCTATGACCCTATTGCCAGTTCACTGGTTTTCCTTCCCTGGACCACTTTTGGAAAGTCCTGACCACTGCAGACCGGAAACATCCTGCATAAGTTGCAGTTTTGGAGTTGCTCTGACGCAGTCATCTCGCCATCACAATATGGCCCTTGCCAAAGTCACTCAAATTCTTACACTTGCCCATTTTTTCTGCTTCCAACACATAACTTAGGGGACAAAATGTTCACTTGCTGCCTAATATATACCACCCACTTCCAGGTGCTATTGTAATCAGATATTCAATGTATTCACTTCCCTTGTCAATGGTCATAATGTTATGGCTGATTAGTCTACATACAGAGAGTTAAAGGGTGGCTGGAATCAGCAGCAGTGACATAGAAACAGAGGAACGAGGCACAAAGGTGACCAGTAATATTGCATCAGACTCAATTCACCCCATTCTAATCCACAACCCAGTACCCCTTTAGGCAGTGTGCTACGGTAGTTAGAAGATACCTGTGTTGCACTACTGCTTTTACTGCCCGATGGCGGGTCGTCCTTGGCTGATACTTTCTGCTGCTTCTTGTTCATCCCTGTTCAGAAAAATGCAACTTAATTTAAATACAAATTAAGTCTTAAAGCCAAATGGTAGAAGATATAAAATACCACAATTTAATCAATTTATGTTTCCATAAAAAAAAAAATAATTAACCTTATTAATACATGTAAAGATCACCAGAATCTGTATTGATATTAGCCCCCTGCACAACAGCAATCAGACTGGGGAAGGAAGGGCCAACATTGTAAGCCAATCAGGGCTCTACTTCTTTGCTCAAGGCTGACAGTCCAACACAGTAAAGTCATGGCCTAATTTGGTGTAATTTGCAGGGAGGTTCAAAACCTAACTGGGGTGTCTGGATCACATAACCATCCTTAAAGAATTACAAAATATCTGGCAGCTCACACGCACGCACGCACACACACTTCAGCTTGCTTGTATAGAGTTTAATTGATTATCATGTGTGTAGTTGGAACCAGAAACGCTCACCCAAGGGAGGAGTGTGAAGTTCTGGGCTGGAGAGCAAATTCAGCTTATTGGAACTCCCCAAACTATGAACTATACCTGCTTTAGATATCTTGGAGTCTCTGATGGTGAGCAGTATTTAGGGTCTGCATCCCTTTCTGAAAGACCATGACGGCATCATTCTATCAACTGGACTGCCCAGTTTATTTTACATTCAGGGCCGGACTGGCCATAGGGCAAACCGGCACTTGCCCGGTGGGCCGGGCCGGGCCAACGTTTGAAGATGTTTCACTGGCCATCCAACCAGCTTTCTCCATTCAGACATTTACAGATATTCTCTATAGCAAGCTTCCTACATTGTTGCAAGGCTTGTGTATTGGTTGTAGCCCTGCAATACTTACTAGTGGCCGGCCCTGCCCCTCGATTGCGCGTTTGTGTTTGGATCCGCCCCCTGTTGTGAGGGGTGGGGCCTGTTGGTGGTCACGTGATTGGGCTGCTCAGTCTAAAATGCCCGGGCCTATTTTTAGTCCCAGTCCGGCCCTGTTTACATTATATGGAATCCATCAATGAAACATAATAATATCCCTTTGTTCTTTAATAGCTGTGGAAGAACAGGGAAACCTGATGGAGAGATCTCACCTCTGAAATCCCTGAAAGATGTAAGAAGCCAGGATGCAATTCCACTAATCAGTTAATAAGAATGAGCGAATGATGCAAAATCCGCTGCACCAGTGATCTGGCAGCGTGGGCTCCACTATTGGCTCTGCTATGCACACACATATAACATCACAGGTATTTGTATTTCAACTGTGTATTTAGATATCCGTGTAGAATTTTACTTTACTCATCTATATAAATGAACTGTGCCTAACGTCTTCAATATGTAAGGGCTCTTTTATGTAGACGGCAAATTGTTTTCCTGCATTTCGTATGCGTTTAAAACACAAGTCAAATGCAAGTCAGCAGATTCCCATTTACTTTAATGGTGTGGATGACAGTTCTGAGGCTATGCTTGTTCTGTTTTACATTCATTTGGACACAGCAGGTCTTATTGAGTTGCGTTTGCATTGCAGGTAAAGCAGGTGAGGTGTGTCCTACTGCTGCATTTTGTATTGAAATGCATGCATTTAAAGTGGACCTTCACCCAGAAAAATAATTTTTCTGTCCTTAAACCCTTTCCCCTCCTTTGCAACATGAAAATCCCCCTCCTTTTTTTTTTTTTATGATGCACATTCCACACTGCTCCCCATCCTCCATTCTCGCCTAGGCAAAAATGGCATGCTCCATTTCCTGTACCTCCTGTTATATGTGACAGCAACCATACAGCAGGCGGAGGGCAGGTCTAGTGGTGCATCTCTGGTGACTGACTGCCTGAACCAAAAGAGACAGCCAGCATCTAAAGATGTAAGGGAAGAAGATGGTGGAGACCCAGCATGTGACCACAGAACATGGGTCACAGCAGGGCACTGCTGGATTCACTGGGCATTGAGTATGTGAACTGAGGTCAACATAGCATAAGGTAAGAGGAGATTAAAAATAAATGAATCGGGGGTGGGGGGGGGGGGCATTCACAACAACACCAGTCCACACAAGCCTTAATTCATTAATGATGAAAATCGAAATCCACAGAGAGGAACAGAGAAAGGCCAAGTCACCTGAGTAACCAAACGAAATGCTTGCTAAAGGGCTGAGATATATTCCACTTCCATACATGGCACCATGAAGCTGAAACAACACGACAGAGGTTTTCATTACTGTTCAGAAATCAGTTTATCTTATTATCTGTGCGCATGATATAGTGTACAAGTGGCAGGTAAATCAATACATCTAAAATACAAAACAGAAAACACTTTATCTGACAGCCTGAGGTCAACAGGAACACTAGCCAGAGTTAATTAATTTCACAGTAATGTACAGGACTTCTGTAGTACGTCTGTTTCAATGTATTCCAAGAGAGTTTGAGATATATCGCATCTGACAGAGGGGCAGAAAATCGTATCACACACAGTTGTGGGGACGAGGTGTCAAACATTTTTGATTGTAAAGTCAATGTAATTTTCTATTGGCACGGCAGACATTTCTAAAAGTAAGAGCAGCAAAAAAAAAAAAAGTAACTTCTTTAAGTGACATGACATGATAAAAATAACTCCAGAAGCAGTTACTCGGAACAAGCACATATACAGTAGGTGTCTGTATACATGACCTTACTGCAAAGGTATCACCGGAACACACTCGGAAATTCAAATATCAGTAATCCATTGATATATTTTATTTTGTGAAGAATGTCACATGTGCTTCAGGGACCTGAAACGTTAGCACTGCATGACATGATGTGGCCTTTGAATTTCCAAGTGTGTGCCGGTGATACCTTTGCATGTACTGTTAGTATTTGCACGGCGCCATCCGTGCGGTCACCTTTTGCACCACAGATACTGTTATGCTATAAGACCATAGGAGTGCGAATGGTATTTGGAACGTACTGTATACATGGTCACATACCTAGTGGAGTACCCCATGAGCAGCAAAAATTGGGGAACTCTATTAGGTAAATCCCCTTAGCTACCGTACCCAACAAGACAGTCAACTTTCCAGTGAAATGAATGGAGTTTGCAGCAAGTATATGCAGACGGTACAGGGTATGACTGTGATGTTTTTGAAGAAGAGACTGTGGGGCACCAGATAGGGTGCACAGAGAAGATTTCTACAGAGCAGTGACAGGTAAGTAAATATGCTGAAAGAACTGTAGAGGGTGCCAATTGGGACCCACTGAGGGTAACCTACTGCCCAGTAAGCAATGCAAAAAGCCGTGATGATATGCAAAGCCCAGTATTTCAAAGTAGCCAGTCTGATTTAACTTTAAAGCAGAACTCTGGACAAAACTTTTCTTAACCCTTGCAGTGTGGCTCCCTTCCTAACTGCTCATTTTTGTCTAGGTGCAAGAAATAAATAAAGTTATACTCACTTGAACCATGGAGTTGACTTGCTCTTAGACCGGTTCATCCAGCCTCTCTCCCACTCCACTGCAGCATCCTAAGGTCCCATAAAACATCACATTCTATACACAGTGTATAGATGTGAGGACACTGAGGAATATTGCAATGCTGCATCATAGGAGAAGACTTTAGAGACCGTGCCGGCTGAGTCGTTTGGGTTAGTATATAGCCCCGATGCTGGCGACGTACACTGTACGTCGTCAGTCACGAAGGGGTTAATAACTAGAGACAAAAACGAGCAGTTAACCCTTGTAGTGCGGGTTAGCCCCACTGCAAGGGTTAATAAAAAGTTTTTCCTGGAGTTCTTTAATAAAGTGGGAATAGTGAAATATGAATTCTAGCTGGTTGTTGTTGCCCTTGCTGTATAAACCATAAATATGTATCTATTTCTTCTCAAAACAAAACTGTTCACAACAGATGTTGTTTACAACCAAAAACTAAATTGGCAAAGCTATCACAATGTAATTAGTCTAAGCTATAAGACAAATGTTTTGCATCATTATCTGGAGCAGTTGAACTATCCTTGACCGCATACCTTTTTATTATCATCACAACCATCCTGGGAGTGTTTTTCAGGACCAGAAATTAAAGGAACACACTTGTAAGATCCATATATATCACAACGGCTACACAACTTTGTCAGCAGCTGTCAACTAGTGTTTTTTACAGTGACACTAAACTCAGAAGTGAAACCTTTTGGGCTAGTTTACACCAGCCCCAGTGCGTTCCGGCACGATTCAGTGCCAGAATGCACTGGATTGCATTCCGGCCGGTTCACTGCATTCTGGGGCAGGAGGGGGCGTGGCAGTGCATTGAAGTCAATGGCACTGCAGCCACGCTCCCCAGCCACAGTGCAATCGCCCGCACCAGAACACATGGCACATCAATGCCTGTGCTCCGATCCGGTGTGATTAGAAAAAATAGTGCATGCAGCATTTCTTCTGATTGGACTGGACTTCAATGCACCGCCATGCCCCCTTCTGCCCTAGAACGCAGTGAGACAGCCGGGATCCAGCGCACTGGGGCTGATGTAAACTAGTCCTAAAAATGCATTCAAGTCCCTTAGCTATTAACAGAAATGTATCTTCTTTGTGTATCACTCGGCTGTAGATCCTCAAACCATATCTGAATTGGTGCTGACACTGTCCTTCCTTCTGGATGGTGGCTACTTTTGTTCCCCATGGTCCTTGTGTGTTGTAAAGTAGCCACCGCTCCCTGCTCGCTCCCGTGATGTACTATAATCTCACGTTTCACAGTGGTGTGAACTGAGCCAATTCAAAACAAGGCAAGTTGAGTTGGGACTGCACTAGGCAATGCACCTGGTGTGAAAGGGCCCTAAGATGTGTTGGATACATCTATAGATACATTGGAAAACCCCTTTAATTACTTGAAAGAAAATAACTTCTATATATCAAGATACAACACTGCATTACACCTATTACTTTCTGTAACAGATTATCAAAATCTCATGTTTTATGCGTATTCAACTTTAGGAACGAATGGTAAAAGATGGTACATTTTTCACAATACCTGAAGTTTTGTATTGGAAGCTACTACTAATCCGTTCCTCAGGATGGAGTGCCAGTTTTCAATGTGCGAGCCACTGCAATAGCAAATATATAGTATGAGATACTAATGTTATTTCATGTATTATAATAACAAGCCTCTATATTTGAACAATTCTAGTTCTATACTTTTTTTCTTAGGTATACAAATCCTCTTATTTTTCATTAACAAAACAGACAAAAAAATATGATTTGTAATGCTTTGTAGTGGGCTTGCAAGTATCATGGAAGCTGTACTTCCAACTGCATGTAAACAGGAATATTTTCACTGTGAAAAAAAAGAGAGTGTTCAACAAGGCAAGTGGCTTTTGAGGAAATGGAGTATACAACTCATTTAAAACCAGGTTCGGCCTTTTGGCTAAGATCAAGTGTAGTATCTGTTCTTATCAGTTTCCGGTGGAAGAACGACACCACCCCTAGTCCGGGCGGGATGGTGGCTTAGAATTTACCGGTGTAATTGGTTGAGTACTGTACGAGGTTTGGAACGTCGGGACTAACGATCCTTCGTTAATGGGTGCGTTCCGGCGGAAAGGACCTCTGAAGGTGCCCGAACCTCCTGATGGGAATGGATACGAAGCTTGGTCTGGCTGGAGGGTCGTGAGGTGGCAGAGCCCGTGGTGTTGTGCCCCCTGGGGGTGGCGTCCCAGGGGTGCTCAGAAAGTCACTTGGGTGTAGGACCCCACTTTGACTCACTGATGCACTTGGTCACACACCACATTACATTTTCTGCACAACGCCTCCATGACAGGCCTTATGGCTAGTCTGGGGCAATATTTTTGCACTCCGGCCCCTAGGGCCTGTCAGCGTGGTGCACTGGCACTCTTTATTTATTTATTGCACCTCATGCACGATTTGGCACTTTTTTATTTTTTTAAACTTTGACCCACAGATTGCTTAGGGTGCAGTTTCCTTCGGGGCCTTTTTCCGATGCTGGGGAGGAGGTTCTGTGCCCTAATATAGGGTTCTCTGCCTCCCCCCAACCAGGGGGTGTCTCTGCGGGAGAGCCCCCTACCTAGTAGCCTTCGGGTAGGTGGACCATAGTATCTCAACCCCTGTCAGGAGCCTTGCGCGCCGGGGGGTCGGGAATAGAGGTCCCTTCTTTATTGAAGGACCATGCACCCTTGTGCACGTTTTTGTGTGCTGTGATTTCACACTTCACTTTTTTTGTTCACAGGGAATTTCGTTTTCGATGCACGTTCCACGGGCTCTTGAAAAAAACAAAAAACAGGAAGCTTATTGTGTGCGGAGCTGGGCTTTAAACCAGGTAATTTTTCAAATGTTAAAGTAGAAGTCCTACCAAAAGTTTTTTTTTTTTAAAGCGAACTCCGGGCACAATCATTTTTATTTAAATACTGTATATTGCCTAAGAGCCCCAATGGACATAAATCCGCTTTGTGTGCACCAAATGTCTTTGAAAACCCAGTTATTATCTTGTAAGAGTAGCAATGGCATAATCACTGTGCTGTACATAACCTGTGCAGAGGGCTGAGCTGAGTGATGGGCCCAGCAGGCTCCACCCACTACAGGCTGCCTGCAAAACACTATAGAATGGGGCGGAGACAAGTCACCCTGCACAAGGAGAGAGAGCTGCAGTAACCCATTTTAAGGAAACTAATGCACAGAGGCAAAGTTTCTCACTGGATTACTGTACAGGTCTGGAAGAAATAAACAAATCACGCCAAGATTCAAGTCAGAATACACATGCCATTTACTTAGACAATACTTGCTAATCACAGAGTTCAGCATTAGAGTTTTGGATAGCGTAGGGAAGGATGGGGACCCCATGTAATGCTCCCTTTGAAGAGATCCAAGTTCACCATTCTTCCTGGAGATTGCTGTCACCAGGAGAGAGCATGACAGGGAATACAAAATATTATGGTTGTCAATGGAACAGGAGGAGGGGAAACCCTGTTCCAGGGTCAACTGTCTGAGTGGCATATGAGGGTAGAAACTTTCTTTTAAAGTATTTAGGCCCTTCTATTATATTTTCCTTGAAAAAAGAAAACTCAGAACAGACTTACTGAAATGCAAATGTGCTCCCGAAGAGTTTTTTAGCAGTTCTGAAATTCGCTTCTTTGGCTGGTGGACTGCTGAGAAGTAGGAACTGGTGAGGGGTGTGCATAAATTTCAGTTGCTGTGAAACATGAAATATTCATTGAAATATTAATATGCTAATCCAAATCAATAACTCTGTTTGTTTAATAACTGAGTGCAAAGACGTAAATATGCAAAAGTAAACATTCGTTTTTCAACCAGATCAGGTTCTGGAACACACATAATTCCAGGCCCCCTTCCCATCTCTACAGTGCACTTATTAATCACTGTACCTTTTATCTATGCATATAAAAGGTATATTTTGCAGTCGGTATACACAGGGGAGATGAAGCAGAAGGATCTGCCTATAAAATAACGTGAAGTGTAGCACTGCTTTCAAATAACAGAAATTAATATTATTATTATACAGGATTTATATAGCGCCAGGAGTTTGCACAGCGCTTTACAATAGAAAAAAGACATTATAGTTACAAATCAAGACAAGATGGTAAGGAGGGCCCTGCCCATGAGAGCCGTCAATCTAAAAGGGAGGGACAAGTGATACAAGAGGTGGTAGCTGTGTGGGGATGAGTTGTGTGAGAAAGTGATAGTTCAGTGGTTAGGTTGAGGTGGGATAGGATTCCCTGAAGAGATGAGTCTTCAGAAATAGCCTAAAGGCAGACAGAGTAGGAGATAGCTGGACAGATTGAGGTAGGGAGTTCCAAAGCATGGGAAAGACTCTAGATAAGTCCTGAAGATGAGCATGGGAGGAGTTGATGAGGGAGCTAAAGAGCAGGAGGTCTTGGGAGGAGTAGAGATGACATTTTGGGTGATACTTTGAGACAAGGTTGGAGACATAGCCAGGGTAAAGTTGTGAATAACTTTGTAAGTGGTTGTTAATATTTTAAATTGTATCCTTTGAGTGAGTGGAAGCCAGTGTAGGGATTTGCAGAGGGGGGTTGCAGACACTAAGCGGTTGGTGAGGCGCATGTGTCTAGCACCAGCATTCATGAAAGACTGAAGAGGGGATAGCCTGTGTAGTGGAAGGCCAATGAGGAGGGAGTTGCAATAGTCAAGACGAGAGATAAGTGAGTGGATGAGTAGCTTTGTGGTTTCATTGGTGAGGAAGGGGCGTATTTTGGAGATGTCACAAAGGTGAAGGCAGCAGGATTTGGATAGTGATTGGATGTGGGGCAGAAAGGTGAGGTCGGAGTCAAGGATCACATCTAACACCTTGGCATGGGCGGATAGTTGTGTTATCAATCTCAATGGAAAAAATGGGGGATGGTGCACGGAAAGGAGGAAATGTCATGAGCTCAGTTTTTGAAAAATTTAGTTTTAAGAAGTGTTGTGACATCCAGACTGATATGTCGGTTAGCAAATTAGTGAGGCGCAAAGACATCGAAGGGGTGAGTTGTGGATTAACATAGTAACATAGTAGGTGAGGTTGAATAAAGACAAGGTCCATCTAGTTCAACCTATGGGTGTATGTGTTTGTGTGTCTGTATATATAAGGCTCTAACACTTGCCATATCCTTGTATATGTAGCGGATACCACTGCGTGTGGAAGGGAATTCCACATTTTTACTGCACGCACAGTAAAAAACGCTTTGCATAAGCCATGTGAGGTTATCAGCTGATCAGGAGAGAAGGTGTAGATAGAGATGGGGTCCAAGGACACATCCTTGAGGGACCCCTACGTAAAGCAGAAGAGGAAAGGAGAAGTTAGAAATATAGGTAACGCTAAAAAAACCTTAGCTAGGTAGGAGGAGAACCATGAAAGCAGAGTCTTAGAGGCCAAGCGAGTGGAGTTTTTTGAGGAGCAGCGAGTGGTCAACTGTGTCAAAAACAACAGAAAAGTCTCATAGCAAGAGTAAGGAATAGTGGCCATTGTTTTTAGCAGTTAGTAAGCCATTAGTGAGTTTTAGGAGGGTAGTTTTAGCAAAAGATTTTGAGGCGAAAGCCAGAAGTGATTTATGTTATCAAGGCTTACTTCACAAATCCCATGACAACAAAGTCTTTACTTATCATTTAACCTGTTGCCACAGGCCGTTTGGATCTAAGTCAGCTTTAACACATATATGCGTGCAGCCAGCGCTGCATTTATGTGATGGGAGTGCACTCACTCAATGCCCCCGGCAGCTCCCGGTCACTGTTTACAATTGGTAAAGGTTGGAAATTGATGGGAAATTACCTGGCAATACCAGAATTGTTACATTGGAATTTCATTCATTCCAGAGATGTAACACCTATCTGCCATTCTAGGTGGCAGTGTCACTGGAATGTGTGTGTGGGATCCAGGTGAACTGTGTATATACCATTCCATTGACACTGACAGTGCACCTGGCTTCTACCTACAGGCACTGTTAGTGTAATTAGAGTGGTGGATAGGTGGGAGCTAGGTTCACTGTCAGTGTCACTGACAGTGTATACACACAGGGCACCTGGATCCCACCTATCCACCATACCATAGACTGCACAAATTTTAGGCACAATCTGGACACACCCACCATAGCTTCGGCCAGCACCCTGTCCACAGTCTCAGGAATTACAATTTGTAAAAGTTCCAAGGTATGACAATTAGAAACTAGCACACCATGTTCAGATGAAAAGACAGGTCACCAACAGGAAGTGATGTTTTGAGACAGCTAGGCACTTCTTCTTCAGGCACCAGAAGCAGTTCCTGTTGGTGACAAATTGTCTTCCCATGTGAACGTGCTGGTGATATCTTGGATTGGAAATTATGTTGTGGCGGCGCCATCTGCCATTTCACCATGGCACCCTTATAGGATTGGGTCTGAATGCTGTATGGAGCGCGCTGGACATCTTTGATTTATAGCCAATCACTGTGATCACATGATGGGGTAGCCCTGGAAACCCCTCCAGCGTTAAGGACCCCTAAAAGGGCCAATGAAAGCCAGCTGTAAGGGCCTAAGGATAGAGGGTGGGGTCATGCAAATGATCCATGTCCCAAAGGTACAACAGATGGATTATAATACAGATACAGGCCAAGCTATAGAGCCATTTATTTCATCATGATACTTGTCACTGTAGGAAATAGACACCAGGGCTTGTATGAACTTGGGCTTGTGCAGCAAACTATTTTATTAGGTCACAATACTGTTCTAAAAAGAACCAGTTCACAGAGGTCAGTAACAATATATTGTTAACATGCCTGGGGCAACATAAAATAACAGGTTCCCAGCACATGGGGCTTTATATTTGACAGTGGCTAGCCTCCTACTGATGGGATAAGGATAATTCTACAACACCGTGTCAACCAAGACATGCTTAAAGATTTATAATCATTATCAGATGTGATTGTAACCTGCAGTAGTTTGCAATGACTGCCTTCCAATTGAAGCCTATCTCCGGGGGAAAAAAACTCCCCCCGCAGTGGGGCTGCCAGGCACACTCCACCAGCCCTTGTGTCACTACAGGACACAGTGGTGACATAGGGGCTGACGGTAGGCATACAAAAATCAAATTTATGCAGGTTTGCGTTCTTTGAAAGTCTTTAAAGCCTAACTCCAGCCAAACAGCTAAAAATACATAGAAGTGATCTGTTTTACCTGTCAAAGGATTTGTATTTCTATTCATCCAGTCCTGAGATTTACACACAGAATAGCACTATCTGGCAGGGCGGGAGACCTGATTTTCCTCTGCTGCAATTCAGTAACACTTACAGGTCTTGCCCCTCCTCCAGCCTGTGACTGGACAGTGAAAAGAGAAGCAGCAGATTGATGAGCTCATCTCCCTGTCAGTCTGTTCTCTACTCATGTTGACATGCTCCTGCAGCACACCTAAACTGGCTCATTGTGTTGACTCCACCGCCCAGCCCCCCTCAGTCTGAACTCTGCTGTACAGTGGCTGCGAGAGACTGAAATCAAGTCACAATCAGGTGTTTACAGTGCACACATAAAAAAAAAAATATGCAAATAAAATGTATGAATGTGTGGATTTTTATATCTACCTGGAGCTCATGCTTATAATAAACTCAAATTTGACTTGTTGTCATCCTCTTGCAATCCCCTGTACTGCAGAGCTCAGACTGAGAGAGAGAGAGAGAAGCAGCGCAAGAAGCAGCCAATAAGTTGTGCTGCAATGCTAATGTGTTAACAAGGAGTGTCCTGATAAAAAAAACGAGAGAGACAAAAAGATAAGTTCATCTTTCTGCTGCTTCTCCTTTCACTGTCCAATCACAGACTGGGGGCAGGGACAAGACCTAGTTGTATAAAACTTTAGAAGAGAAAAGTCAGGCCACCAGGCTGCCTGTGCTGTCTGGCAGGGCTGTATAAGGCCTCGTTCACACCAGATGCAGTGCGGTCCTGCCCGATTCTGGCCAGAACGCACTGCCTCGCATTGCGGCCGGCTCACTTTTTTTGTGGGGCAGGAGGGGGCCATTGAAGTGAATGGCACTGTAGCCACGCCCTCCGACCACAATTCGATCGGCCGCACGAGATCGCAAGGCACATTATGCCTGCGGTCCGGTCTGAACAAAATAGTGAGCCGGCCGCAATGCGAGGCAGTGCGTTCTGGCCACAATCAGGCTGCATCTGGTATGAACGAGGCCTTAGTCTTAGAATTGGATTACCAGAAATACAACACTTTTGGCAGGTAAAACAGCTCGCTTATATGTATTTCATCTGTTGCCTGGAGTTCAGCTTTAATTCCTCCACTTTCAGAGCTGAGATGCTGAAATAAAACAACAAACAAACCGCTGAACAATACAAAAAAAAAAGCATGCAACACATAATAGTAAATAACCCGATGTACAGTAAGCAATTCACGTCATTCCATTGACATTAATGTGATTGCAAAAAACCAGCAAAACTTACCCTGTTAACTGGCAATTTCACAATATGAGATCTATTACTTGAAATCACCCTGGAAAAGAGAGAAGCGCGGGATAAACAGATGTTCCTTTCTACTTAGTTACTAAATCTCACTATGTGGAGAGAGATTTGCATGGTAATTGTGCAGAATGGCACATTTTGTAAATATCTTCTGCAGCTACTTCCTTCATTGCCTGTTCTGTCAATAGAGATCTTCATGTGCGAGCTAACAAAGTGGAAAAGAGTCTCTATAATTACTGGAGTCTCAATCACCGGGCTAATGTGAAAAACACTATCTGCTCACCGCTGAAAAGATTGTGATTCGAGAAATGAGCTGCCGAGGAAAGCCAGCCATCGTGAATCATAATGTGACACATAATATACCATCTGTAGAAGGTAAAGAACACTTTCCTAACATTATGTTGTGCAAGGAGCTTCAGAGATGAGTCACTTGTATACTCTGTTCAGTAAGACACAGCACTGATGTACCAACCACAGAGAGAACGAAGCTTGCCATACATGTGACATACTGATAGAGCGATCAGACTCACAATGTAAAAAAATTAAACGCAATTAAAGACATAAATTGATGGTTTCTATTCACCTTAAGAAGATGGGATTGAAATTGTCCCCATCAATTGCACCATTCAGGTGCAATAGGCTCAATATGTTTTACTGCAGGACCCTATAGATTGTATAGATGTATTGCAGTAAAATCTGTACAATGGCAGAGAAGAAAAATCTACAAAGGGGTAGTTAAAACCTCAGAAGATTGGTGCCCCACTTCCACGTTTGGGAGACCTGCACTTGAGCCATCTTTGATAACAAGCTATATACTGACATATAATAATGAGATATTATAAGAGATCCAGTGTTCTATCATTCCATCGTACCAGTGACTTTATCGTACTGACAGGGGCGTGCTCAGTTTAACATCAGCGGCTCCAGGTCCATAACTCTTACGGACTAATTATGAAATCATAATGATAAACGAAATATGATTGCACGTAAATATATTTGTGTTAAATCTTATACAGTTTTTGTTAAATATAATATGTATATAGGGAGAGCCCAAAACACACGCACACACACTGTATATATATTCTAGTCAATGTTAGGACAGAACGGAGAGTGGCAAGACTGGTACAAGACAACAGAAGGGCAGTGCAGTGTCAGATTCCTCGCATCACCTTTCAACATCTCGTGGTCTCATGTATATATATATATACACAGGGCTCAAAATTTCAAGTCCTGAGCTACTAGCCAGGCCTTAAGAGTCACTAGCCACCAGTTGCCCCACCTAACCCTTACCTAACCCTTACCCTAACCCTTACCCTGCCCCAGCCTTAACTCCGCCCCTAAACACACCCTCTTAAATAATCTTATGATAATTCTTATCTTGTGATAGTTGCCGCTTGTAAACAGCAGATTAGGGATTCCCGCTGCAGGAAAACGCAAGTTCCTGACACAGGAATCTCTAATCACACCTGAAATATACTGTAGGTGTGAATGGGGCCTAATATACACATACACTAAAGGTGCCCATACACCTGCCGATTATCGTACGATAATCGTGGGTGATCCCGCGATCGTACGATAATCGGCAGGTGTATGGAAGGCGTGCGACCGCTTCTACTGTAAGTTCTTCCAAGCACGCTGGAAAACCTGCCGAAAATTGTATAACTGTTAGTGGAATAATAACAAAGTGGAAGCAACCGGGAACAACAGCAACTCAGCCACAAAGTGGTAGGCCACATAAAATGACAGAGTGGGGTCAGCGCATGCTGAAACACACAGTGCGCAGAAGTCGCCAACTGTCTGCAGAGTCAATAGCTACAGACCTCCAAACTTCGTGTGGCCTTCAGATTGGCACAACAACAGTGCGTAGAGAACTTCATGGAATGGGCCGAACTTCTATTTCCATGGCCGAGCAGCTGCATCCAAGCTTTACGTCACCAAGTGCAATGCAAAGCGTCAGATGCAGTGGTGTAAAACACCTCGCCACTGGACTCTAGAGAAGTGGAAACGTGTTCTCTGGAGTGACGAATCACGCTTCTCTGTGACAATTTGATGGATGTGTCTGAGTTTGGCGGTTGCCAGGAGAAAGGTACTTGTCTGACTGCATTGTGCCAAGTTTAACGTTTGGTGGAGGTGGGGTTATGGTGTGGGGTGGTTTTTCAGGGGTTAGGCTTGGCCCCTTAGTTCCAGTGAAGGGAACTCTTAAGGCATCAGCATACCAAGACATTTTGGACAATTTCATGCTCCAAACTTTGTGGTAATAGTTTGGGGATGGCCCCTTCCTGTTCCAACATGACCGCACACCAGTGCACAAAGTAAGGTCCATAAGGACATGGACGGGGGAGTTTGGGGTGGAGGAACTTGATTGGCCTGCACAGAGTCCTGACCTCAACCCAATAGAACACCTTTGGGATGAATTAAAGCGGAGGCTGCGAGCCAGGCCTTCTCATCCAACATCAGTACATGACCTCACAAATGTGCATCTGGAAGAATGGTCAAACATTTCCATAGACACACTCCTAAACCTTGTGGATGCCTTCCCAGAAGAGTTGAAGCTGTTGTGGCTGCAAAGGGCGGGCCAACTCAATATTGAACCCTACGAATTAAGACTGGGGTGCCAGTAAAGTTCATGTGCGTGTAAAGGCTGGTGTCCCAATACTTTTGGTAATATAGTGTATGTGTGTGTATGTGTGTTTTTGCTCTCTCCCTATATAAATATTATATGTAACAAACACTGTATAAGATTTAAATACAAATATATTTACGTGCAATCATATTTTGTTTTATCATTATGATTTCAGAATTAGTCCGAAAGAGTTATTGACCTGGAGCTGCTGAAGTTAAACTGCGTTGGTCCGTGAGATTAACGGACCCGAGCCCTGCACACGCCCATGCACCCCCCCCCCCCCCCCCCCCGGCGGAGCGATACCGGGGAGGTACT